AAACTTGGTGGTATTTTTGACTATGGCGGAATAGAGCAGTATGTCTTCGCTTATTGGGGCTACAGCGAAAGCATCTCACACCAGCAGATGGGAGACGCGGAACATTTAGGTCTGAGCCACCCCTATTGGTAATCAGATATACGGATATAAGCGCGCATTACTTATAAGAGATCGAATTGGATGTGAAAGCTACTACTACTAGTGCTACTTTTAAAAAAGCACACTTACCCAAGCACTCAATGTTTGATCTCCGCCCCGCCCTGGTGTAACTTTGTGCCACACATCTTTTATATACATATATATATATGGAACAAGACATCACTTTTCATGACATCACTGTTGTTGGTTTTGCACATATATTGTACTGTAGTAGCAAAATTTGCTGCCCCCTACAGATTTATTTGCGCTTCCAAACAAAGTTGCCTCATAACGGGACCAATCTGTAATGTTTTAGCTGCTCTTTCGGTGTGTGCACGTCAGATTGCAATCCATGCATTCATTAAATCTGATCATATTTGTGTTTGTGCTTTGTAGCCATTGAACATTATTGTTGTCCAATTCCTTGTCTCAGAATACCAACACTGCAATAAACTTCGCCATTACGTAGAAAATAAAATTGCAACTTAGCAATGCTAGAAGAAGCCATCATTTTTTAGTTCTGGGCGGCTCCAACAGGACAGAAACAGAAACCTGTGAGTGTGGATATAAACGAAAGTGACTGGCGACTGGGGATTAACCATTTGTCGCAATATCAGGACTAAATTAATTCAAAAGTATTTAAATACGTTCGCATTTGTCACTTATGTCACGCAACTATTTACTTTTTTAACAGATCAAATCCAAGTTCTGTTGTTTTCCTTGTGGACGTGCTCATCTGTACCTGCTAAATTGCGGAGCGGAATCCAGTAAATGCGGTAACTTTTTGCAAACTGTGAAGCTCTGCGCGGGATATGAAATTGTTTTAAAACAATTTAAAATTATTCTACAATTAGGCTGTGTCATATATATTTTTATAAAGAAATCGATATCACGACTTTACATATTGATGATTTTAACTAAATCCTACGTCTTTTGTGGCGTCCTTCCCAAAAAACAATCTAGGAAAAAAAATTACAGGGAAGTGGGTGAGAACCTCCGGGGTGTTTCCTAATGAAAATTCAGTTCAGTCTATTTGTTTAGAAACGTCTAGACACTGAGTGGATTGGGTTTGTGTGAGAAACGTGGCATTTCTGCGTTGGTTCTTTGCGAAAGGAAATAGCTTCAGAGCGTAGTTCCTAATGAATAATCTGATTTTCTTTAGCAATAGTGGGTAAAGCGCTTCATTGAGTTTAAAATGCAATGTTTGGGGGATGAAGGCGGAGGAGTGTGACCTCTGATCTCCGCCACGAAACAATTACCAATCACACTGCAATCATTTTATTTAAAGAGGCAAAACTTTCTGCTGCCGAAACTTCCGCGGTGAAGAGAAACAGTGAGGGAAATATATTCGATTGATGCCATGTAAAAAACATTGAAGTGATCTCGGTTTGGACAAACTCTTCGCTTGTAGCTTTAGGGCCCCTATAAAAGTGTTTTCTTCCTCCGAACTGAACTTCCGCACTTTCCATTCACTTTCCATTCTGTTTACCTAACAGACAGGACTCGATTCCCAGAGTTTTCCAGTGGGGGCTGTTTATTTTGCTCTTTCAACAATATCTGGTCGTGGGGTCTACATGTCAGACAGACACAGGTATCCAAAGTTTAAAAAAAGTTTAAGCACAGTCAGTATTTTCCTATTTAAAATTTTGGTTAACGCAAATACTTCAGCAAGTGATGATGCTGAAACAACACAATATTCACTGTATTTTAATGAAAATATTTGTGTGTGCATTTCTTAAACTATTTGTGATACAGTTGCGATATCGCTCTCCCAAACAATTTGTAACTGAAGTTGATTATTGCTCTTGTCGTCACGGCATACAAGTGATATTGGACCGTAAATTTAATTTAATTCATTAGTGTCATAATTAGTCAAATAAAAAATGCAGAGAATCAATTCACAGTCGCGTTCTTCGTTTCTTTCTAATGTACACAATAGATTTGGGACGTCCTCCCGACGTGAAAGGCGCTCTATAAATGTAATGTTGTTGTTGTTGTAGATTAAATAGAGCCAGCAGCAAATATGAAACATGATAGAAATAATTATTTTATGATATTCCGCAATTTGGATTCATTTTAATTGATTTCTGTTTTTAAAGTTTAAATATCGCGACTGCAAGATTTCAAATATCCACCATAAAACTAAGAGAAACTAACTAACAGAACCCGAAAGGCATTAGGCAATATTGGAGCAAGTGTATGAGAGAGAGACCTGTTAGTGCTACATCGTACCTAATTATTTCAACGGAATTCGAGTTTGCCTCTCTAAAAAGGTAGGTAGAATTTGTAAAAAAAATTGCAATAATACAAAGCATGAACACAGAATAAAAACTGCGTTTGTAGTTACAGAACCAAGTGAGAACTACTTTACCTACTAAATATAGCACTTGGAATGTAGTAAATACTGAAATCATTAACGATTCAAATATTTATTCTGAGCTCAAAGGGCGTTTCTATTTAGGAAAATCATGTTTAATTATACCATAAACCTGAAACATTTAATTGAATTTATGAATTGCGAACTGCGTAGACCAATCGCTGAAAATATAGAAGCGCACAAGTAATTCAAGTTGCTTCGTTTGAAATTGTATTGGAGTTTCTATAAATGTCCGACCAAATGCATTGTCATTCCGAACGTATTGGGGGTGGGGGACAAGAAAAACTTTCCACTATCAGAAATCCTGGAATTGGAATCCACACCACTCATTTTATTTCAACTGAGACACAAATCAATGAATTGCTTTCCGAAGCTGGATTTGATTGACTTCCGGGTGAAAATAATTTCCTTAAAATATGTAATAGTGTATTGTCTGCAGAATGCGTCTCAGTAACATGAATGTAAACATTGTGTCATGGTATAGCTCCAATACATTATTTCTACAGAAAGTCCAGATGGACTCCCTCAACCATAAGTTCACGTCAAAGCTCGTTCACTCTTAAAGTTTGGTACTCTGTACGTCAAAGTTATGTCACCTTATTAAACTTTATTGAAAATCAGATTGCAAGAATGTAGTTGTCACCCGAACAGTAGACAGTCGTTTCTTGATCAGACCATGTCAATATTCTGAATGATTTCATGATTGTACTTTTAACTCATCTCTTCTACGCAAAGTATAAAAATAAGCCGCAAATGATGTAATTTATTAGGGTTAAACTGATACAGGAAATGTTTGCGCATTTGGATTTATAACAAAATATATTTCTATGCTAAGAATCGCAAAAACCAGTGTCACATTACATATATTTCAATTGATTTATGATAGCAAACATCCCGAGGGTTGACTGATAAAAGTCCTACAACTGCTATGTGTACACGTTCCAGAAGAGGAATTCTGAAGTCACGAACAGAAATGGTATAAGAGTAATCGGTCTCGGTTAATGAAGTTAAAACCGTAAGATACTTTTCTTTTGCCAGGTGCTGCAGTACATCCATTCGACATTTGATTTCAACGTATATAGTTAAGATTGGGTCATGCGATGGAGTAAATGGGGTGGAGGTGGGGAAGAGAGAGAGAATAAGGCGGCTTTTGGCTAAGTGAATGAAATACAAGTTTTTTTTTAAAAAAAGGTTTTGGGAAAGCTTTAACATTATTCAAACCTCGTCGAAATGAATACATATTTACAGCGTTTCCCCTTCCCCAAACTAGATATCATCACTTCACAATACAGAATCTAATGGCGATTTCTAGTATGTCAAACTTTAGTCTATTAACGTGAACCTGATGCTCACTGGGTCCCAAGTACCTTTGCCTTTGTGTATTGAGGGGGAAAACAAGCAAATTCAACAAACTGACAATTTCGAGTATTTATTCCTATATTACCGTGTGCAAATTTAAATTAGGTGGAAATTAATACTACTTTAAGTTAGAGGATAGTTTTTTTTTTAAAAATGGATAAAGAAGTTGTAACTATTTTGTTTTACGACTGAATTAAACACACCAGGGCAGCCAGATCCACTACAGTGTACGGCCCTCTAATATATTTTTATACACGTTTTGGGTGACTAGGATTTACATTTGATATCACCGTTTGACATACTAACTCGGGCTATCGGGTTTCACTGTGTCGCCATGACGGTTTAGCTTTATACAACCCTCAGTAATTCGAACAATTTCCAGACTCCAGTCCCTGTCATCTCAATTCTAATCATTCACGGGATTTGGATCGTTTGTGCAAACTTTCCCAGCCCAAGGGATCTGCCATTGTTAGCTATTGTCAAGGGAATTAAGCCGAGATCATACACTACAGCCATTTTTCAAAATCGTTTTTATGCAGTAAACAATTCTCAAAGGATAATACGGTTCAGAGGCATGCACATTTTTTTTAAAAAAAAAGCTGAATTAGTAAAAGCAGAAAAATATATACAATGCTTTTTTTTTGTAAAATTTATTTTAACTGTTGAGCAATGCAACGTCGATGTTTGCAGAAAATGCATTAGTAAACTATTTACATCGGCTGTCAAGAGTCCGCTTTCAAATTCTAGAATAAAAATTATTTCACAATGATTTACAGAAAATATTACAACGCAAAAAGGAAATTAATTCAAATACAGAAACTCACATGGGTCACAAACGTCGAATTGATGGCAATTCAAAGGTGTTATAAATTAAATTCGAAAGATTGTCGTATGTTGTCTTTTCCAAAACTCAGGGTTTTTTTTTTAAAACGGTTTGGAAAAAAGTAAACTTACAACAATATCATCATTTCAATAGGGGCAAAGATTCGAATATTTGCAAACTGCAGTAGTTCACATTTTGGGCATACAGCGAAGCTTATTTTCTCAATTAGAAAAGTTGGCATCTCTTATGACCGGTTTACAAACCAATAGTGTGTGTGTGTGTGTGTGTCTTCTTGATTGCCTCATGAGTGATAAATACTGTACAAAAAAAACCTTGGTAATAAAACATTTAAAGTCATTTTAAGATGAATACCAGCTGGAGCACTAGTAACTTCTCAGAAGAGTTTCTACGAAGGTAATTACAGTGACCTTTACCTCTCTCTCTCTTTTTTTTTACAAGAACAACAAAACATCTCTGTACAAAAAAGTAGTCCCCACTGATTGTCCAAAGTATTACTTTACATATGAGTTAATGGAATTGTACCATTGACTCCCGTGGCCGCGCTCTGATAGTGCTGAGGGAGGGCATGAAGTCTACTTTGCGATGGGTCGCTCCCTTCTGCTGTGGGTAAATACATACTGATCATCTCCCTCAGGTCCCCGGGACAGGGAGCCCGAGAGTGAGAGCCAACTGGAGGACTTGCGCTGGGTTCCGACTTGACCATGGAGCCCAGGGAGATGCCGGCGCCCGCTGCGGAGCTCTGTTGACTGTAAGCCGAGGAGAGGCTGCCGTAGGTCGGGGACGCGGTCATGTAGCCCTGCGAGCCGGAGATCGGGCTGTACTGTAAGGACACGTCGTAGCGGTGCATCTGCTGCGGGGTGTGATGGTGGTGGTGATGGTGGTGGGCTCCTCCTCCGCCCGCGCCGCTCCCTCCGCCTCCCGCCGCCGCCAGCGCCGGGTGCTGGCCGTACGTGAGCTGCTCCTGCATCATGACCGCGGCCGCGGCCGCCGCCGCCGCCGCCGAGCCCGGGTAAGCGCTGTTGGCCCAGCCGTTGATGTGCGAGTAGCCTCCAGCACCCGGGCCGTCCAGACGCTGTCCCATGCCGACGCCCGAGCTTACCCCGGACACCCCCATCCCCATGCCGCCGGGACCAGCGGCCAGCAGCCCCCCGGGCAGCGAGTACTTGTCTTTCTTGAGCAGGGTCTTGGTCTTGCGCCGGGGTCTGTATTTGTAATCCGGATGCTCCTTCATGTGCAGCGCCCGCAGCCGCTTGGCCTCGTCGATGAAAGGTCGCTTCTCGGCTTCTGACATGAGTTTCCACTCGGCGCCCAGGCGTTTGCTGATCTCGGAGTTGTGCATCTTGGGGTTCTCTTGCGCCATCTTCCTGCGCTGGCCCCGGGACCACACCATGAAGGCGTTCATGGGCCGCTTCACCCGTTCCGCGTTCATTTTGCTGTTGGTCCCCCCCCCGCCGCCGGCGGGCCCGGTGCTGCTGGCGACCCCGGGCGGCCCCGTGTTACTCTGCGGCCCGGGGGAATGCAACTCGCTCTCCATCATCAGGCTGTACATTCAAACAGGCTGCCCCGCGGCGCCGCGCAACTTCAACAGCACCTTCACAGCGAAAGGACAGGGAGGGGGAGAGAAAAAACACACTCACACACTCACACACACACACACAGACAGAACACCCAACAAAACAACAACAACAAAAAAGTGGCTAAATAAAAAAAAATGCAAAGCAAAAAAAAATAAAGGGAGAACGCTTGCTTTTTTTTCTCTCCCCCCCCCACCACCCCCAAACCTTCTTCTATGCGAGCTATTTTGAGAGAAAGAGAGGGAGAGAGAGAGAGAGAGGGGGGAAAAAAAAGTGGACAAAGTAAACTCGATTAGCGTCCGCAATGGCGAGAGACTTTTTTTTGCTTTATTTTTTCATGTGGGAGAGAAGTTAATAGATAAGCGGCCGCGTACGATGCAGATTGACAGCCATTAAATGGGTTTGCAGGAGCCAATGGGGCTGAGGCTCTGGATGAGCCGCGCTGCAGCGGCTCCCGCGGCCCCGTGACGTGGGGAGGTGTGGAGCTCATTAATTAGGGAAACCGAGGAGGTGGGTCGCCTCGGGGGGGTGGAGAGAGAGAGAGAGAGAGGCTCGAGGGCTCATGCGCCGACTCCTTCCTTCCTTCCTTCCCCCAGATAGAGGGGACAAGAGCTGCAAACGTTGTCTGCTTCCCAATCCCCCCCCCACCCACCCACACACCCACTCACTCCCCCTCCCTCGCATTCATACAACATAAAGTGGGATTAACGCTATGACTGGAAGCACCCCCCACCTCCCCCCCCCCCACCCAAAAAAAAAGAAAGGACAGGGAATGAAGTGGGTTTGCATCACCGGCTCTGTCTCTGGCTCTTCTCTACTCGGTGTAGCGGAGGTTGTTCCTTATCAGAGGGCGACACTTGGTGTTTTAAAAGTCCTGAGGTTTAGCACTGGCAACTGGACGTTTCCTTCAGTCATACACGCAGGGCCATGAGAGGTGTCTCTCTCTCTCTCTCTCTTGATACGGGACATCTGATACTTTTAGTGTTACTTATTCACTCATAACGCTAACGTACTTCTGGAAAATAACTTTATTTGGAACGTTTTACGCGAAATATTAAGACCTCGCGTCAATTCTCAAAAGGCCGCAACAGCTCGGTATCACTTTTAAGGTATCAACTTATTTACGCTCTGCGGAGCGCCCGTCACCTTCCCCGTCAACCCGAGAAGGAAGGGTCTGAAAAAAGGGCCTGTGTTTTTGAGAGCCACACTTCTCGTTCGGACGGGGGGACGGGGGACGGGACGGCCCGGGTTACCGGTGGCGGTGACACGCGGGTCGCCGGGTTTCTGCTCAGTCGGGGCACCGAGTGCAGGAGCGGTGGGAAAGGGGGGGGGGAGCGGCCCCGCGTGTGCGTACCACAGGTGTGTGCGGTTGCCGGGGCGGCCGTTTGACTGACAGCTGGAGCACGTGGCACTCAGACGCCCTCTCCCAGGCTCGGAGCCCCACAGCAAAGGCAGCTGCCTGTCAATCACCCACCGGCCCCCACCGCCCCTGACCCTGACCCTGTCTGCTCAGGGGGCGCCCAACACTGACACGGGACTGCTGGCCGGCTCCAGATATGCAGACCCCCCCCCCCAAAAAAAAACACACACACACACACAATTCAGAGGCAAATGGCCTTATTATTCTCTGCGTTCAACGCTGTGCGACAAAGTTCTCTTCTTCGCGAATCCACGGGCTGTTTCGCTCGACTGACACATTTCCATTCTGTTTATTATGACGACCACATAATTGCACGTAATTTTGCATAACCAGGTGTAATCCCTCCCTTGGGGCATTTATCTTTCACGCACTGCTTTTTTTGGGGGGGGGGGGGGGGGGGGAATGCACAAACAGTAATATATCGCAGTTGTAAATGTTTACTCGCAAACATTCCCTGCATGTTTGCCTTTTCTGCAGTGATGACATGAATTAAACACGGACATTTCATCAACAGTTACAGGAAATAAACCAAACGCAAATTCGTGTTTTAAAGCACCCGTCAAAATAGAAAAAGAATATTTTCCAGTCTGTGAAATGATAAAATAATAATCCTCGCATTTCGTACAGCGCTTTTCGCGTCGGGTGAACGTCTCAAAGCGCTTCACATGATTTACTGAATATGTTTCGGGTCTCGAAGGCTTGGTTCGAAAGCTGAAGAATCTTTAAACGCAGATACATGTTTATTCTCCAGTATATACAGCACAGAGATTTAAAACGTTGAAAGCTTGAAACCCAACAGAATACACAAGCATTTGGAATTAAATGGAACAAACATTAAATGATTGGAGGTATTTTTAAATAATCGTCACAGCCACAAAAGTATTCACGAACGAATATTTGATGCTGCTGTCAAAAATGAAGGTAAACTAAAAGCAGGAGTTTCATATAGGTTAGCGCTACAGAAAGTGGAGAGTTCGATGTGATACTTAATGATGTAGTAAGTATAGCACAATATAGCGGGTGTCTTTGTCCAATCTGCACAGTGATAAACATATGAATGGAAGCATAAAAGGCGACAAGGAAGAAAAATGGGAAGTTTTTTTTCGCCAGGTTGTTATGCACAACCGACGTAATCAAAGACCCTTGTTAAATTGTTAAATGGTTGAGGTTAGACCCACAAAAACGATAACACAATGATATATCTATTTAAAACCATTCACCATGTTTGCCGTTGATAACGAAAATATTCAGAGTGCTACAAGGCACGGAGCAAGAGTAACATAACATCCAATCCGTGTTTGTGTTTTGGCTGTAAGTATATCTCAAACAAGGCTGTTTAAACAAATTACAGTCTTTTCAGAAGTTTTTCCAACTTTGGAAGTATGTAAAGACGTACATTTGAAACAGAGAGAGAGTCAATGTTGACTGCACCAATGCAGCCCGGGATAGCTTAACTAACACTCAAACAAGTTAAATTGAACTGGCAGCACTTGGAGCAAAATCCAATTAGATACTAAAATCATATCCACACCGTAAGCAATTTGCTTGTAGTAAGAGACTGATTATTAAAGCAAAAGATAAATAATTTGATAAGGGAGGCTCAAAGGAAAGTCTCTTTTGTGCAATCTACGTTTGAGAGCGGGCTTTGATCGCCGTCTGCTGGCTGTAAATACTGCCTCTAGCTCTATGCAAAGAGAAAGCTCTGATAAACATACTGATTCAGATGACTCTTTACCTTTTATCATTTTACCTTTTTAAACGCAAAATAAAATACCTTTCACCGCACGATTGCCCACCAAAGCCACAATTACAGATCCAAACATCTCATCAACCTGGAGTCTAAAATAACCCGAATCTCTTTTAAAAACAACTTTAGAAATGCAATCAGTATTTGAAAATGCTAAATATTTAATACTCACTTTTATATGTAAAAAAGTCGCATATTGTTTTTTAACTACAAACTGGACGTAGAATCTCAAATATAGTAACGTGTTTTCTTTGGATAAATAATCCACAAATTAGATTTTGATAACTGTAATGTACGACAAAAGCCAGTAAGAAAATTAACAATTTTTCTGCTAGCTTTTAAATACGGGTTGTATAAATATCATAGCAGCGTGGATTTGGAATTGTGAAGACTAAATCAATTAATTTGGATTCCTATTTAAAGCATGCATAAAGTGTAGCCTTCGAAAGAGATGGCGCCGTAAGCAATACTCACGCATATAATTCAAATTTCACAGCTGACCTGCTCTGAAAACCTCAATCAGCTTCTAATTGAGGGGAAACAAAATATTGCTTCCTACACTAGGACTAACGATTTAATCATTATATGATACATTATAGCTTTTAATTAGGCTAATGCTGATACTGTATGGAAAAAGATAATTCAATACAGTTCTTGATGAATTGTATAATTGGGTTAACAACAGAGCAGTGGGGAACACGTCAATATTCAAGCCGCGTAGTCACTAGTCTCAATAAAAGGAAAAGGTTACCTACGCAGTGCGAAAGGAAGCAGAAAACTACACACATGAATCGCACAAAAAATATGCAAGCAAGATCCACAGCTTGTGGAGTCACACACGTAGGTGTTTATATCTCATACCGTAGTATGTAATGATTCATATTTCTATATGCACATTTGGAAGCACTGCAGCTTGGTTACGGCATTTAGCATATACGAGCCTGACTCAGCACGGAGAAACACAGATAGTATTATTTTTCCTCTTTGAATAATTTAACAAGAAAGCGAGAGCAATAAATTCCCGAATATACACGAATCAGAACACAATACATTGCTCCCTTCTATTCTAAAATAAACGTTTTTATCTTAAGAATAAAGCAAATGAGCATTGATGGTCTGTAAAGGTTTTGCGATTTCGACGAATAATATTAACAATGAACAATGTGATTTTTAGTGTCAATCACTTCCAGCTAATAATGTATAACCAATACAATCAACACCTATAACTATATATACACAGTAAACGTTTAATGCAACATCATGTAATGTATTTTCTACTTCCTCCAAATCGTTTAATACATGATACGTTGGCTCATCACTTCCGAACAATACATACGGTTAATTAATTTAAAATGCAGATGAAAATGTAAATGCTTTTGTAAGTACAGTGCGAGATTAAACAACGCTACAGAATAATGAGAGGGGTTGATGTCTTTCTGAGGAGAGAAAAGACACAAAGAGATTATTCAGACCCAGGTGCCTGGGAAATGACAGCTCCCTTCACGGGATCACAGTGACTGTGAGATAAAACACAACTTTTAAATAACAGCACTTGGGATTTGCGATGATTAAAAGCAATTTGATGTCAAACCTGACATGAATATGTCAGTTGAAATAGGACATCCCCAATCCACTCTCCAACCCGGCAACACGCTGTACTGCACTTTACAAGTAAACACGGTGTAAAGTTATTTATTTCTATTAGGATTTATTTTTGTTTCCAAAAGCAATGGTTCTACAAAGCATAAAATAATCCATGCCATTTCAATTGAAAGTACAGGCAATTTTAAAGGTAGACAATTAGAGAACTCAATGTTGAAAACTGACTAAATTGTTAATGTAAATAAGTGTATGATCAAGATAGGGGCACAAGTAAAACAGCTTATCTTACTTTTAACAGTATAATGTTTCATGC